TTTTGCTATGGCAGCCTGAGCTGAGGAAGAGAGCTGGTAGAACTTAGGGGGATGGGGAGCAGCAGCTCATGGGTATGAAGTTTCTTCTGCAGTGATGAAAATGTTCTAAAACTGACTGTGTTGATGATYGTACAACTCTGAGTATACWAAAAAAAACTGAACTGTACATTGCAGATGGAATAATTGTAGGGTGTGTGTTTTAAAATGTCGTATGTTATCTAGGAAAGAATTATCCAAATGGCTAATACAGTCACTAACCTGAATGGTCATGGGATGCTGGGAACAGAAGGCTCTTCCTGTGCCAGGGCCAAGGGTGACGGTGAGTCTGGMGGGCTAGAGCAGCCCCCACTGACCATGGTGCCTGTTCTACAGTGTGACATGCCTGTCTGTAAACTAGCCATGGAGGAGCCATGCATGAGAGAACCCCGAGTGGGGTTTCTCACACTGAGAGACCTACTCCTAACCAGACCCAGGCTCACCAAGAGCTCTCACAGGTATTTTGTCATTGGCTGTGACCAGGAGGGTATTTGATGATCGTGTATATGTAGAAATGTCTCTTTCATTTCTTTATTTCCTATTTGTTCARCAAACATTCTACTGGTAAGTATTGTGCCCAGACAGTGTGCTAAGAGGTATGGCCATGACCACACCCAAGCTCTCGGATGTGCAGTGGTAGGTCCTGGGGGAGGGAATGGGGGAGGTGAAGTAAACTAGAGCAAAGTCTCAATTACATGCAGTGACTCAAGCCCAAGTGATCTTCCTGTCACCCCACAGGCAGCCTAGTGTGTGTTTTAAGGAGGAGGGATTCCCAGATGCTCACAACTTAGCCTAAAGTTATAGTTGTTATCACTTGGGGGTAGTGGGGACTGCGGTGCAGTAGGGCTTTCRTGCCCCACACTACCCAGCACCAGTGATTGTTGATCTGTAGGAACATGGATGGTGTTATTAGATCTGCTTGTTTTTATGTGAACTCACTTGATTTAAAAGTATTGACATGTGGCCCAAACATTTCCAAAACAATGTTCAGGCCAAATGAAACACTGCAAGCCAGACTCAGCTCATGTGCTGCCATTAGGGTCCTATCAGACTAAGATTCCATGTCGAGGAGGTCAAGATAGTCATTTGCTTGTTCCACAAACATCTATGGGCTGTTCTACCCTCAC